GGCGCTTATCCAACTTCCATCACAGAGGCACACCCATTCACCATCGCGAATGCCCCGCGCGACGACGATATGGCGTCCTCTGTCGTTGAAGATGATAAGTCCAGCGGTGTCGAAGAGGGCTCGAACTCGAACGAGGAGAGTAAGGAGAAGGAGAATCTCGGCGCCTCCACCACCGCTGTCACCAACGGCGCCCGCAGGCTCACATTCATCCTCCGCGTGCGCACGGGATTCACGAAGCGCCTGCTCAACGCCGTTCTCGCACATCCTGATTCCGACCGCGTAAGCCGCTCGTTCACGGCGTTTATAGACGGTCCGTACAGCTCGCCGCCGGTCCTGCGTGGGTTCGAGAGCGTCGTGTTGATCTGTGGTGAGTCCGCATTCAAATCCTTCTTCGGAGCAAATTAGGATCTTTGCTCGTTAGGTGGTTCCGGCGTGAGTTTTGCGCTGCCGCTCTTTCTCGAGCTTGTGCAGTGCGTTCTTCCCGCTATCTGAATCCATACGGTTAAAATTTTTAATACATGCTTGGCAGGTCGGCGAAAACAAACCCACGCTGTAGACGTGTTGTACTTGTGTGGGCGGTCCGGGATCCTGGTCTGTAATCATTTTCCCGAACGTCCGTGGACACTTATTAAGCTTATGCAAAGACCAAATCAATTGGATCGCGGGGGCTGTAACGCACGCCCTCTCTGCAGTTTCTTCTGCCGATAGAGCCCCCGCTATTGACGTGCGCCTGCACGTTACCACCGCGCCAGAGGACACACAGTCGCTCGACGGCTCTGTCCTTACAGACGCCGAAGCCTCCGTAGGCACGGACCCGAGTCACCCGACCCCAACCGCGGAGAAACTGAAAATGAATGCTGCGACGACGGCGAATGACCGCGACCGCATGCTCGCCATTCCGGGCGTACAGCTCGTCTACGGGCGGCCTGATGTCGCGGAGATTCTGGGGCATGAGATTAAGGGGGCGCGGGGCGAAGTGGGCGTTTGTGGTCCGTATTTTCGCATCTATCTTTCGGACGCATGTTGATGGGTTGTATTTCTAGTGTGTGGAACCACGGAGCTGGCGCAGAGCGTGCGACGTGCGCTTAGTGACGGTGCCGGAAGGTTCATGGATATATTGCGAGGGGGCCCGAGTGTGGTGTTGCACGTTGAGGGGTTCGGGAATACATGATTCCTTGATGTTCAATGTTTTTCGATAGACACGAAACAGTAACGATGAGATTGGACATGAACACGATAGATAGAGTCGCGCTTTCTCTTTGCGGGAGATTGGCGGGAGATAACTATGTACCAGACTTACAGGACTGGATCTGCAATGACATAGCTGGAATCTGTCTGCGGGCAGTGGTAAACCTCCACTAAATTCCAACCCGACTGCATTAGCACGTTGTAAAAGCCATCCAGTGAGCGCTCTGTTCCGCCCAGGAGGTTGTGCACCTAAGAAGGGAGATCAAAATCAGGGAGGACTCAAAGAAGTAAAGCAGCGAACAGTCAAATCGTAGTAGTAGAGCGGAGCCGCAGCCATGCCAAAGTTCGCCAGCAATGGTGGGGCCGCAGGTTTACGGGGCGCTCCGAGAATTGGGATACGGTTGACCTCAGAGTTGGCAGATACTCCGCCGGACGCAGAAGCTATAATATTATCGATGATGACCAGTTTCTGAAGATAAATGGTGTGAGCTGAAGGCAGCACAGAGAAACGAGTGTTGAATTACCGTCGTGGGGAGAGCGGCTACGCGCAAGTGGGTAAGCATGATCACTACATTGGCGTCGGACCAGTCATGTACAACATGCCGGAGGAGGAAGGCCGCTGCATTTGTGACAGGCTGCGGTTCAAGGAAATTGTGTGCTGCTTCGGTTTCAGTTCGAACTCCAGTGCAAAGTCACGACGCTACCTTGAAATTCAACCATTCCAGCCTCGACATGACTCGGGAAGACTTCCTTCCAGTGCTATGAGAATGAACGTAAGATAAATCAGTTCAGATTGCGACTGGATGCCCACCAATTTGGACTGTTCAATTACAGGGCCGCGGTCCTGATTAACGATCTTGAGTTGGGGATACTTTTTCACGATGGAGTGGGAAGAAGCGCCAAGCCCTCCGCCGACATCGACGATGATGCTCCCAGCGGGCAATTCTTCCCACTTGGAAACCTGGCGCGAAATTCTGAATAAACCGGGGATGGTATCAATGAACCACACCTCGGAATATAGTATCCTCGGGTTCTTCGGCGGCTGTACCCTGCATCGCAATAGCAAAGCGCGTGAGCCGTTGTTGGTTGTTGGGATTTTCAAACCATTGGAACATGTTTTCGCTGGTCCTGAATGCCCGCATGTGACCGGTTGCTGTGCTCTTAGGGTCGAGCAAAGCGTCCGTCATGTAGGAAGAGGCTTTGAAACCCTCCTCCGAGCTGTTTGGACGTGGGCGAAGTGGAACGAAAGTAACCGGAAAAGTCTTACATGAATTCAACCAAGGCGGATAGTCCATTTGTCTCCAACAGTCTTTCATCCGGCCTACGAAAATGATATAATAGTGCACTGAATTCTTCTGCCATCAACTCACCTCGCGAACAAAGCATTTGCATCATTGTTTTTATCCATGGTTGACGAGATTCGATTGTTGGCGAAAACATCCACCGCGACTTCGCGAAATATGTGGTGCGTCGCCAAAAGACGAAGAATTCGAGCTTGGGGCCAGATCAGTTCATATGAAGGAGGCGAGCGTGAATAGTGCTCACCGACGAGTTTAGGGTCGACCTGCCCATGCGCAGCTATATCGTTAACATGGGCTCCCTGCACACTGGTTATTCATGGACCCGGCCCTTCGGAGTGTCCACGCACCCCTGGCCCTGCGTCTCTCAAAATCTCGGCGAAGTTGAGCTCTGCTGCAGCGCGCACGCAGGAGGAAATTTGGAACTGATACTACATGTTTCAGTTCGGCTACGGGAGAGGACTAAAGTGGATGGAGTTACCGCGTGCGCACTGTTCAAGATGGATACTGCGGGATCTCGCATGATAGCTGCGATTGACCTGAGGCCGCGACCAGGTTTTGGAAGGCCTCAGACACCACAGGATCCAGTCTGAGAGACTCTGCGGGGTCGTTTGGATTGAAAGGTACATCAAGAGCTGGGGGATTTAGCCCAGCACTTCTGTATTTCCGCTCCACTGTGGTAACAGCTTGGGAAATAATGTCGGACAAGGCACGCAAGGTGGCAAGCGAATCCATGCAGCGAGAATACCTGGAGGACTATCGTAGCGAGGTGATCTGCGCAATTTTTGGGATAGTTCGAGTGACCCGTAGGAAAGCTACGTAGACAGGTGGGTCCTTGTCAAGAGGCACCCACCGGAAGAACCCGAGACACAGGCTCATAGGGTAGGGTGGGTCTGGGACCTCTTAGCGCACTTTTTGGACTTTCGTTAGACCGCTCTGAAAATGCTTTTGGAAGGGTCTTTGAAAAAAAATGGGATTTTTCTATGACATGGCCCACCGAAAATGTTCCACGACCAATTGAAAATGCAACCCACGTATCACAATTGGTTCAAATCGAGCGCAAATCCCTTTGATTGTGTCCAATTGTCGAGCAAAATTCGTGATTTCCCACCGGTTTTGTGCCGTAAATTACCCGATTTGGCGGTGGCTGTGCTCGGCTAATAGGGTAGGATGGGTCTGGAGAGCTTACTGCACTTTTCCGACCCTGTGGGGCAAATTTTAAGCATGGGTGCCTCTTGGTCCTTGTTTACTTACCTTTGACACAGTCAGTCCAGACTCCGGGGATCTCGGACTGTGTCAGTTCAAAACGCCGCATTCCCTAGTCTCTTATAAACAGACGCTACAACAAAAATGAGCTCGTACCAAGCTCGTACCTCGCTTGTTGTAGTCTGTCGTTTTGCCGAGCTGATTGATTGGAGGCCGGCATTGTTATGTAAGCAAATTTTCGTCGCGTCGCGAAAGAATGTGCAGGACGTGTTCTTCCCCAAATTGCTATCAGGCATGGCTTCAATATTGCAATAGGCTGCAATTGACTCACCAAGTCCAGGGAGAATCGGATTAAAATACAGATGCCGGATTTTGATGGGCCGGCCGCTGCCGAAGCGTCGGTTTCGTTCCCCGTCCAAAAGCATTTAGAAAAGAAAATCTGAAGAGATAGAAACGTTGAGATGGAGTATTTGACCGTTTCTGTCTGCTAGGATTCAGCGTTCTGGTACCTTGAGCGCCGGAACAACGGAAAGGAAAATCAAAAGGTGAGCACCGCCACAATGTTTACATAACAGTATCGACCTCCAACCATCAGTGGCGCGGTTAACTTCAGACTACGCATTCCCTGTCCCGGGCATTCTTGAACAGTACATGTACTCCTGTCGTGCGTCACGGTGTGTATGCAACAAGTGTCGAATCCTTGTTTATTTTGGACACCCTCAGTCCGGGAATCTGATTGTGTCAGTGCAACACTCCGAATTCCCCGTTCCGGGCATTCTTGAGGCACTCAACTCCCAGCTGCGTCAGTCGAAAATTGTCTACCGGCATTGGTGGCTATCCCTCCGAGCCAGATCCGCGTCGAGTTGTTGCGACTACAATAGGGTGTTTCATAATAGGATTTGAGGCCCATCTCGTTGCTGCTTGGGAGGAGACCCCTCCTTCAAGTTTCCGCACACTTGCGCGTTGGGCTCGTGGCGTCCACGAGGTAACAACCAGAGGTCCCTCCAAATTCGTTGACCAGCAGTCCACAGTTCGTATCGTGTTTCATAGACCCCGGCGTGTGCTCCGTAGGCTTCATTTAGAGGAAAGGTGATAAGGTGTACAATATCTACATGTTCGAGTTTGGACTTGGACTGTCGTAATTGACGTGCGACCAAGTCTACGCTTGTCAATGTTTTAGATGCGAATTTGTCACAAGTTGAACACTGTGCAAGGCAAGGACCTTTCATGGAATGGTTTGCACGGGGATAACCTTCAACTTTGAGGTTCTATAAAATAAAAAGATAAGAGTTCGTGCAAGCCAAAAAATTCCGAATCGGGGAATCGAACCCCGGGCTGCCGCGCACAGATTACCCAATTTGTACAGACTGCACAAACCTGAGAAGCGGCAATGTTAACCCCTACACCAATTCGGAGGTGACAGGAGTTGAAAAGACAAGGTATAGGTGGTACCTAGTGATTTCCTTCAACATTGACAAATTTCGCAAATTTAGAGCCGAAACACCTGCAGGGCTCACAAATTGGGATGTCGTAGCAGTCAAGCATGGAGCCAGTGGAACTGCGTAATCTGTTATTGACATACATGTATGATCTCTACCACTGGGACACTATCATCATAACCAAACTTGAGACGAACCATAGCGACAGACCTTGGACAGACCTCATCGTGTGCGGAGATTGTTGACGGATCCTGGGGCAAGAAGCGGAGATCTTGACCACTGCAGCAATTCGGAGAGTGAACTGAGTCACGCAATCTTTGTCAAATTTGACCCCTGCACCAATTCGGACGGTTGAAAACACAACCAGGTCATGGCTGTCGGCTGAATTTAAGACTCGACACAGGCAGGGTGTCAATGAAGCCTGTGGCACTCAATAAAGACCAGCCTTGATAGTGGAGTTGACTGGGCTTACGAATAAGAGGCGGGATCCGCTGTGAAGCCCTGAGGAAATTGGACTCGAATCACCGTGAAGTACCGATGGGATGGGCTCAGATTTCCCGTCCCGTGCGGCCTTTCGACGGCATAATCAAAAGAATTAGTGAGGTCAATGTACGATGCAGGCACAGAATCACCTGTAGGAATGGAAGTGGAAGTGTGATGAAGGGCGGAGAGCAATCGGTACCGTGGCGCAGAAGGAGTGAAGCAGTGCAGGCTAGAGCTCGATTTTTTCAAAGAAGTGAGGCATGCATACGACCAAAGCGCGCCGTTAAAAATGATGTTGAGCGGTCGTGATTTTGATCCGGACTCTTAGGCCAACGTGGTTGGAAGCCCGCCAAAGTTCTGAGCCTCTACTTATCCAGGAGATCCAATAGTAAGTAGCGCTATAGTTGGGGGTGTCATGGGGATGTGAATCTGCTCCGTGTGCTATTTAATCGTCAATTGTTCGAGCCTATCCCAGACAAATAAGCAGTGTAAAGGGAGGTGTGGCCTTGCCAGAAGAGCTTAGATGAGTGTGCGGAAAGAAGGACGCATCACAGGTTACGTAAGTCCCGTTCTTCTCCGAGTCCGAATCCGAAACCGCGGTTGCTTCCTTCCATCATCCCTTGATTTCACCCACGTCCTTACAATCGTGGGCGTGCGGGCCAGCTGCGTCTATGACTCGACCGAAGCCTCACCCGGGCTTAACGCGACGATGGCTCCGGGCTAGACAAGGTTAGGTTTGCGCCGAGACAAAGGGATGGCCAGATTTGGCAAAATGGGTGAAGGTTTTCGTTCTTTTTTCAACCCGGGCCATACGCAGCTTAATTATTCTTCGAGTTTCGCTGTCAAGATGTAACCATGGCTGTGGGCGAACCGAACCGGTCCGTGGTTCGCTCTTGTAGGCTGCGGGAGAATTCCATTGGCTCAGTACTGAGTACTCCCTCGAAACTGGGGAAGCTGAGCGCTGAAGCTTAAGAAGACTTGTCCTGGCTGCCTTTTTAAAAACCCGTTGAACCGAACGACCTCGAAGGCAACATCCGCTCTCCGTGAACTGATATCGTAAACTAATATTCATCGCTTTGAAACCGTTGCCCAATCCGCATCCATCTTATTGGTCAATTAAAATTTGGGTACCGTAGCTGCGACTCGGAGACGGTGTGCAGTCCGGAGCAATGAAGCGGAGAGTACTTCAGGGTTCTGTGTGCCGTTTTGCGTAGCCGGTATGTCAAATTTTCCAGCTCTGCTGGTTGTGTTCTATCCTCGGACTGGGCGCCAATTTGTCGTCGCCAACAAGTGACGTGTCCATTCTAGATATTTGGACCTCCAACAGCTTTGTCCTCTTCTCCCACTCTCGATGGACGTCGGACCTTATGCTGACGCTGGAATCAGCTCACCCTCAAGCGAAATTTTACATTCTATCTCGTGAGCTGACTTCCTTTTGGCTTCGTTCTCCAAGGGTCCTGGTATCTGTCTCACCGGCGTCTAATTCAACCATTACAGCATGATCTCAGGATCGCACCATTTCACTGTCGCTGGGGGAACCTTCACGAGCTACACAAGTGCGCAGACCGCGCCTGCTGGTGCGTTCCCATCGCCGGCGTTGGAAAGGCCTAAAGTCTGTCCAGATTTCCGAATGATCGCCCTGGGAGACATCGACCTTCAACGGGAGATACAACTGGATCAGACCACATGCTTCCTCGCTCGCCGACGCGGGACGAATGTCCATTGCCGTGTATATTCTGCCAGAGTCCGAGGCCAAAGTATGACTGTGGCAATGTATCAGGGGCGCGACGCAGAGCAGGTGCGTTAATTATTCTACCCCGGTTGAGCCTAAATAACCTTTGTAGAAATGGCGGCAGGACATTGGGAGATATATGTCGGTTCGGCGAGTGTCATGCCATCTCTTCGGGTTCTCTGTTTCTAAACTGCACTCAGTCATCCAAACATTATTCAAATGTCCGGAGCCGCGAGTTGGAGCGGGATATATGCCACCGTGTTCCATGATAGTCCGAATTCCGAATTTCCGAAAGTTACAACGAGCTTGACCTGCCCTTAGACCTGGTACCCATTGAGCATTTCCTGGACCTTTGCCGTCATTCCCACTTTTTGACGGTGTATCTCTATGCCTCGTGTGTATGTCCACCGTTATCGTCCATTTCCCCAATTATCATATCTCGAAGGGGGCAGACTTTACAGTGAGTCAAGTCCGCATTGTCGTCCGCATTCTCAAATTGTCGCAGGCGGCAAGTGATTACTTCGAATCCGTTTTTCCACACAGCGCGGTGAGCTCGAAGATTCGAAATCTTGACTCTCTTACAATTGAAAATGTCGACACCATGACTTTCCCTGCACACTGTGGATCCGTCCTTCATCTGGCCGGCTTTGCGCAGACTTCATCCAGTCGAGTGATACCATCCGCCTCTTCGATCCCGGGGAGCCACTCGGCATTCAAACAACGACGCCCTGGAATACATCCGATGCTGAAGCCACCGCTATCGAGATTCTGAGCCTTAAACAGTATCACGATATATGTTCGTGGTATCTGTCTCAAGACCGGACTGTCACCATTTACGCCCGAATGACCGTGCATCTGGGAGCAGTCATTTCATGGCAATCTGGCCTCCGAGGTTTGTCGGAAATTGCCTCTATGCCGGGCTCTGATGTCGGTGGCTGGGTGAGTTCTTGGGGTGGCGGAAAGATGATGAATGACGGCTGGACTCGGTATTGATCTTGTTCGATTTTATGGTCCGCCCTCATCATGTTTGAATCCAAGGTGTCCCTCAGGGGCTGTATCCGCCCGCACTTTATGGTTATGCCGTGGTTTGCCTGGGTACACCGGTTGGCTCAGTCAAGCCACCCAGTTCTTGTGACCCGCGTTTATTTTGAACTGGCAATCTCAGCACCTACGAAAGAGTGTCCTGCTGGCTTCCTATTTCTGTGCCCAGAAACCGATTTCAAAACTGGTCCGTCCTCATTCAGCTGGCCAGAGTGCCCGGCATATTGGTCCCTCGATCCGTTGGGGGTCGAACACCTCAGCACTGAGAAGGCGGCCAACCTTGGATTTCCATCTCTGCAATACAGCACAAGAATTATGGGAAGGTGCTGGGATGCGAGTGTCTACGATGGAATACGGCGTTTCCACGAGGCACACGATTTTGCTCCTGGCACACAGGACGTCGCGCGCCATCTTGGGTTTAGCCTTTATCAATTGACTAGCGAATTTTTTGAGGCTCCATTTGCCTATGGTGAGCCAATCGTTCTATTGGTGTGGCTCTGTAATCATGTTGAACAGTGGATGGAGTGGTGGATGATGGTGACGAGGATCATATGGACCTCAGCTGGTGAGGACGCGGCAAGCAAGTCGAATTTACCACCTTGCCCTGTTTCCTGCTCTCAGTCGCGAGTCTTATTTGCCGCCTGCTGCGTTCCCTACGACCATGTGTATGTACATACCTATTTCTATATATCGCTGGGGCCGTCTCGACTCTCGAGGCCGCCACACACATCGTGTGGCACGTATCACCTTCTGCCGTGCCCCGGCTGACACTCCGCTTGTGCATTCCGATTTGTTAGAGTCTGTACAATTATGGCTTTCGTGGAGCTTATCTCCCCGAATCTCAGGCTCAGTTTGAACCGCTTGTTCGATCCTGCTTCAGTTTCCGACGGAATGTTTTTGCTTACATGTCTTTGAGCTGCCCCGGAGGAGGAGGAGGAGGATGTATCTGACAACTGGCGTCTCCAGGTTACATCCCAAAATACACATCGTCATATATAAGCACGAGCCACTGTATGAACACACACTGCGTAAATATTTGTATACATGTATATCTCTACAAATTTTAAACCCACGTAGTACCCAATGATCCCGGAAACGAGACAAACGAGAGGCCAAGAACTTTAATTGCTCGAGCGCGGCCCAGACTCGTCAATAATCACCATCTTGGTGTCCGACTCCGTCTCGGAAAGATTGGAAAGGCTCGGGCCACTCGGCGGGCTCCTGCTGACATGAGACTGAGTCGTGACGTGTATCTGGGCAAAAACGGTATGAGAAATCGCCTCGACCGTATCACAATGGAGCGCACCTGGAACTCCTTCGTGGGATTCGGCGACAAAGGGCCCATCTTGAACATGTTGGACGACTTGATTTCTTGTTTGAATGTGCTCCGTGCTGGACTGGGAGGAGGCACCATGGTATTGGCCGGGACGTCGCTTAGTTGGCGATTTGCGGATGACCCGCTCAGGGTGGGCTGTTGTGCTCCAATAGTAACCCAGAACAGCGCCGCAGCGTTGAATATCATCTAGAGACTGATTAGAACAGAAACAATCTGGAATTTTCAGGCAGTAGTACGCACATCCGCCCCGCAGCTGGAAAGACATATCCATCCGAGCTGGTGCCCCTTCATGATCGTGAGCACGGTGATGTTGATCTACCAGTCGGGTCAGTTTAGGTCAACGTTTTCCCAGGCGATATTGAGCTCACCGTGGACGTGGTGAGC